TTGATAGCAGTATATACGTACGACCTTTTAAATAGAGATGTTGAATGTCTCGGGAGAACCAAGATATGCTTATTCTTTGTGTTCAGTTGATTAACATCTGAGTATCTGATAAATTTGGTTGATAGATATAGAGGGGCTTGTGTTGTGATTACCTTATGGGTCAAGGTCAATACATGCATTTTTTGCAGCTCTTCTATTTTTTGAACACCTAGCTCACGATATCTATGTGACACTGTCTCAAATTTTCTCACTCCACAAGCAAATCTGAGACACGCATGTTGAATAGTCTGAAGTCTCCTTATCTCAATCGATCTTAGTGCAGGCCCATATCGCTGGAGTGTTTTTTATTCTATCACAAGATGCAACTATTCTTTCTCTTAATTCCTCTACAGTGCTAATGACACTTGTGTACACTAGTGTCTTAAGTCCCATAAAAGGAAATCTAAACAGTTGAGGTCTGGGGACCTTGGTGGCCATTCTTAGGGCCCACCGCGGCCATCCAACGATTTGGATAAGCAGTTTGTAGATAATTACGAACCGCTACACTGAAATGCGGTGATGCACCATCATGCATGTACCACATATTGTTTCTTATTACTAACGGAAGATCATCAGCAGCAAAGGCAACTGTTGTTGAAGAAAATTGAGGTAAGTCTGTCCGTCAAGTCGTCCCCGCAATGGGAAATTCTGAATGGCATTTTGAGAAAAATTAGCTTCATCCGTGAACAGAACCATTGATTCAAATTGCCGATTTTGTGTAATTTTTTGAAGATACCGCTGACAAATAGTCACACGCCTTGGAAAATCAATGGGAAGTAATGCCTGTACTCTACTAAAATATAGTAAGGATATAACAAAAAAATCCACTGAAATTCTCCAAACAATTTGATGGCAAATATTTAAGTGTCTATCGATCTTCCTCGTACTCGTTTCAGGATGTTCTTCAACTTGGTGCAGTGCTGCTTCCTCAATTCCAGGTGCTCTCACACTTAGAGGTCTACCTTCAGATGTTCCTTTTCGGACAGAACCAGTTTCAATAAGACGACGATGAATATTAGAAAAGGTTCGACTATCTGGCAAAGCACGATCGGGATATCTCTGGTGATAAAGCCGTCTGGCTTGCTCACCATTACCGTTGGCAAGGCCATATACGTAATGCATTTCCGCCATTTCTGCATTTGAATAAGTCATCATTATTAACACGATTGTAAAAGCTAAATAATGAGAAAGATGTCACAGCGAACAGATTTGAATAACAGATACTTGTTGGATGTCAAAAGCTAGTGAAATATTCCAGAGCAACTAGATATTTATTGCTAAATTGCATTCTTCAATTATTACATTCATTTTCTCGGACAATAGAAGAGTTTTTATTTTTTTACCCAAAAATGGTGCATCGACGAAAAACAATTCATTGGTTTTAAATTGCACGGAGAAATCAAAAATAATTTTTATTTGGCAAAGAACCATTGTCGTACCATTATTTTCTTGAAAAATATCAAAGTCGATATCCGTATGGACGCCACTGTTAAAGCTAAAAATTATTTTTGCATTGAAAAATATGCAACTTTATTAACTTTCACTACGTACTAAATATGAGTGAAGTATCTGAAGCGGTTCTGAAAATATTAATTTATTTCCATTTTTTTCCTAAAACTTTAACACCCCGAGTGTTTGTAAGGAAACATTTAGGACCATAGTTTATAAAGCAAACACATTAATTTTTCATGTAGATTCACACCCTTAAATATTCGCATATCATTAAGGAACACCCTGTATGTAGAGTTCCTACGGTGCACTATTCGATAATGTTTCAAGTCATATTTAATATGACTTAGAACCAGCCAAACTGACAACGGGGTCACATTTAAGTTACCCCGACTATCTAAAAATTGAAATATTTATCACGTCACCTCGTATCAGGAGCCGGTATAAAATTAAGTTGTGATACAGGCAGTTGAATGTATATGGTGGTGTGTTGGTGAGCGAAGGAACGGAGAGTGGAGTGGTAGCAGAGCGACGAGCAACAAATCTGGTGCAAAACTGGAACTAGCCGAATAAATCTCGCGCAACGTACAAGGCTCATTTGCATAGAACAAACATTAAGGTCTTAATTGAAGTTCGCGTGAGTTGCCTTTATTATGGCCTCCGCTGCTGCTCATTCCACTCTGTCTCCTTCGCGAGCAGATAGATTGAAACGGATCCACCCATAGTAGCTAGTGACGTTTTATACTGTAACGAAAACACCGTTCTACTGTTCAAAGTCTAATTTATTACTGCTACACTAATTTATAACACTTGCAACTAATTTATAACTATGTGGACTGGACTATTATCTGCCACTGCCATCTGGACGGGTATTTATTTACCTATCGTCGCGTAAAGAAATACTCCGGTGCTGTCGGGAACTTCCATGGAAGTGGTTTTCATGACCCCAGAAAGTTTAAAATTCATATCAATATGGACTGTTTAACTTCAGCAGTTGCGATACTCCGGCATGTAGACTCTTGCTTGAAGCAAAAAATTCCTGAGATTCAACGCCTTGTGCTCAATAGGTGGCCATACTTCTTGCAACAATTTAAGAGGATTTAAAAGAAAAACTATTTCCTTTATCATCTACCTCACAGGATTTGTTGATATTTTTTAATATTTCTGATCTCCAGTAATGATGATCTTAATCATTTATGGGAACCACATGATCACTGCCTTTGAAGACAAGCTTCATGGATTATTCGGGAGCTTTCGACAGAGTAGATCACGATCTACTTTTGGCTAAATTAGAAAATTTTGGAGTATCAAGCAATCAACTATACTGGTTTAAAAGCTATCTGTCTGGACGAACAGATATGCTGGATCATCATCTAATCCCATCAATGTCAATGTGTACCGCAAGGCTCCCACATTGGTCCAGTTTTTTCAATTTATTTGTTAACGATGTTGCAGGATCTATATCACATAGCAGATGATCTTAAATTATTGAGAGTAGTGAGAAATGTCCTCGATGCGGAAACCTTACAAATAGATCCCATAAACCTCACTTGACGGTGTAGTACTAATAATGTCAACATCAATTTGATTATATGCTACCCGATAAGCTTGAGCCGTAGTTCAAACTCTCTCGTGTATGAATATAAAGTTGCAAGCCGTTATCTCATGAGAACTGATACAGGGATTTAGGTATAACTCTTCATACATAATTAAGTTTTAAAACACACATTAGACAAATTACTTCCAAATCATAATATACACAATATTGAGATGCATTTATTTTTACATCTATTAAGCATCTCTCTGTAGAAATTTTCGAATTTTATACTGCTCTTTGGAGCAGAGTATTTTGGAGTACAACACAGTGATATGCTCGCCAAAAATAGTGCAAGGTAGATTTTTAAAACAGACAGCTATGAAAATAGGTCGGAGTCAGAATATTTCAGAACTAGTGAGTACGTCGGACATAGACTCCTTGAGACACCGCAGGAAAATGTCTGATTTGTTTTCTGTTTAAAATAGTCGATGGTGTCATATAGTAGATTGCCCTAGAAGTGATTGCACAAATGAATCTTAATGTTAAAGACGAACTCGCAATATAGAACTGTTTACGATTCCACATCGTTCTACCTATTAGGTATGGTAAGACTGAACCAGTTACTAGAATTCATAGACGCTGTAAGCTACAATATACATATTTTCAATAGCAATATTAAGCACATTAAAAGGTATATAAAAGATTTTTCCGTTTAACCTTAGTTGCTAAGTTTTAAATATAAATAGGTTGGGTATCATGCATCTTTAGTTCTTCTTTAGTTTAATAATATATACCAATGTACGCTGTCTCATAAACGTAAAGTTTTTGATGTAATTAATGGAAGTTGTAAATAAATATATAAATATTTCCCACTTTTCGTCTAGTTCTAAATGTAAAATATCAGTGAATGGTATACAGTGTGTCCCAGATTCGCTTCTCTCTACAGGGATCTCGGCTCTTGTTATACCTACAGCAAGGGTTAAATGGGGAAAGTTTTAGAGGAGACTTAGTGCATTCGATAGCTTCAGATTGATGATCGGTCAATTGGTTTTATCAATATCGGTGAAAAACCGAGAATGTCGATTTTTTTTATCTCAGTAAATCCGAAAATGTTAATTTGACAGCTATCGAAAAGTGACATTTTCCGGACATTTTTTAAGGCAAATGAGAGCGTGTATGACATGTCTCAATCGTCTTTTGTTTTCCCGCAACTTGCGTAAACTTTTTTTTTCTTATTGAATTTTTCGATTTTTGAAAGAGCGTAACATTTCCAGCCTAGTGATGTCTCACAAGTCCATAAAAGATTGGAGTATCATCGACATATCATCACACGTAATGTTATGTATCAATTTTTTTCTAAGGATGCCATGATTTATTTGCCAGAAAATAAAATTAATAACTAACGCATTTGTTTGATCTAACGAGGTTCTAACGTTGACGTAAAATAATTCAAAGTATTAAAATTGTGTTTTAATAAGTACTAGTTACGCTTTCTCCCATTAAAATGATAAATCTGACAAAAAAATTATCAAAACCTGTTGAAAATGGCCAGTATTCCCTACTCAAATGAGGAAAAGTTTGACATGTTACCGCTGTACTTGCAGTCACACAGAAACGCCGACATTACCTCAGCAAGGTATTGGAGAAGTACCCCGAATAACGGCAGCCTCATAAAACACAATTTAGAAAAATAGTAGTTAATTTAATAAATCAACACCAACAAACTAGAAGCGGATACAATATTAAAAATGAAAATCGCGACAGAAGCATTTTACAAGCTGTCAACGAAATCCCTAGTGCATCAGTAAGAACTATTGGTGTGTCATAATATAAGGTCCGGATTTTTATGTGGTATAAAACTGCAAAATATGTTTATTTATGCAGTAAAAAATAGACGAAATATGGATTTTATATCTGGGAAAACTGAAACAGAAATCTGCGTACACAAAAGAAATAAACGCTTATATATTAATATATTATGTTTAATATAATAATTAATATAATATCATATCAAATAATATTAAACTAAAAGTCAACAAAACAAAATAGGTTTTTCTGTAATGAACAGTACAGTACTAATCCAAACTAACCCACACAAAAAGTTAAACGATAGGGTTGCAGTATAAAACTAATAACTGGTTAATACTATCCATGCTTAAATTATGGCGTTTGTCTGTTAATAAATTTTTAAATGCCGAAAATGAACGCTCCACATCACATGATGTGATCGGCGCAAATTTCAAGGAAGCTATGTCTGAAGGCTTCATTTTAATATCCGGATCAATTTGGTTCTGTCCTCTCAAAATGTAACAAACATTTTTTATTTGTTGGTATCCAGGACTGCGAGATAAAAAACTTTCCCATTTAACCCTAATTTTGTTTCCAGTTTCAAGAGGAATAAGACTTAGTTCTTCAATCACCTTTTCTAAGATTCTGAAAGAGTCGTTTAATGACAACTAGGTAGTTTCCAGCTCCATTATTGCTTTTGCTAACATGAAAAAATGAGCTTTAATAAAGTCTAAGTCTTCTAAAATGTGTGACTCTAGTATCGATTCCTTACAAAAGATCTAAGTGCTATAGAATCAGCGTCAAGCGAATGAAAAATTTCTTTGATTATTACGAAATTATCTGCATAAAACAAGGCAGCATTGAGCCATGTACCCCATCTTGTAATAACATGCTCAGGTGGTAAGGGCAAGCCAGGAGCCATTTCTTTGTAAAATTCTACCCTTAGGGGAGCTTTTAAAAAGACCTTTTTTCCGTTATTAATTAAATAATTAACAGAAGGATATTCTGCACGTACTAATTCGGCTAATCTATTCAATGCATGAGCCATACAGGTGAAATGTATTAATTCCGGGTAAAATACCAGTAAAGTTTTTCCAGCCTTGATCATATAAACGGCTGCATCAGAAAGCATCAATTTTTCGTTTTCTGATTTAACTGGATTTGGTGCATATAGTAGGGTTAAACTATCATTATTAAAACGTGCAACGGTCGAGTGATTGGTTTTTTCTAAGGCTGCTGAATTAATTAAATAAGACACTGGAGGGGTAGACTCGTTTAAAATACCAACAAGTATATTGGCAACATAGACCACATGCATCTGTTGTTTCGTCAACTTGAATATAAATATTTGTGTTGCATAACTTTTCCCTAATATTTTCTAAACGTACCTGGTAACATTTCATCAAATAGTTTTTGCGCAATGTGGATTCATTTGGGATATGGCGGTTACAATATTTTTCTAAAAATTTACGGAACGCCGGTTGTTCTAATTTATTCCATGGTATGTTTGATTGTGCCATGGAGTTGCATAAATCAAAATAAAATTCATTTTTAGAATCCTGGTTTTGTTGGGAGCTGCCACATCATGTAGTTGAAACAAACGTTTGTTGCACTTTCCCGTTAAATTGTTTCTCCATTTCCTTGTGAATGGCTGTAGCAAGGTGTTGATCGATTTGAAATTTCTGGTTTGAGGATACCTAAAATCAAACGAGCTCTAAAAAAAACTTTAAAGAAACCTTGAAATAATGAATATTTACAATAATAGCTCCGTAGATAATGAAATATTAATTAATTATTATATTAATACATATACTCACTTGCTTTGAACAGGCGTTATAGTATACAACTGTTCCATCAGTGGATAAATGTTTAGCATTCTTTATCCATTTGTTAAGTAAATCAGCTTTAGAGCTTGATACCTTCGGCATGGCGATCTTTTTAAATATTAAACTGCAGCGAAGAATAATACGTGTTTATTTACTACTCAAGTTTTCTAAATCAAGATTGCGACAGGTGCACGGCACGGAGCCAAGTTATTAATCGGGGAATCACCGATATGCTTTGTACCTAGTCTTTATAATTTGTGCATCGTTGTCAGATTTACATAACAATGAGTAATAGTAAATGTGTTTAGTCTGAATAAAAAAAAATAAAAGCCATTTTATGTTTTTTAAAGCGTATGTCTTTGTATATGGATTATACATAGAAAAAACCGAAAAAACCCTAAAATATTATGTTATATGTAAAAACATGTAAATACGTATAAATCCGGTCTTTAGTCATAATCAACAGTACAGAGAGTTTTAAATAAGAATAACTACCGTCCATACAAGCCTACAAAAGATCAAAGATTTGAGGAATCTGATTTTCCAAGGCAAATGCGCTTCTGTGAGCGGTAGGTATACTAGGAAGTCTAATGAAAATCCCGATTTTGTAAATCATGTCTTGTGATCCGATGAGAGTAGGTTTACGAATTGTGGAGTTTAATAGGCACAACACTCATCATTTGACTGTGGAAAACCCTCACCAAGTGGCAGAGAGACGCCTACTGACCAGATTTGGAACTGACGTTTGCTGTGGGGGGATAATTTAATCTAACTTACCTTTTTTAATTGGGCACCTATTTGAAATTAGGTATTAATCATTTCAGGAAATCGACTTATTGAACCATTTTTGTTTGACTCGAACCTAAACGGACAGAGGTACCTAGAGCTTTTGCGGAACCAGGTTGTGCCGGCTGTACGAATCGAAGATGAGTTTAGAAGAACCTGTTTTTAACAGGATGGATGTCCGGCTCACAACACCATTCAAGTCAGGGACTTCTTAAGATAGTAGTATGATGAAGAAATAATTTCATTGAATGGTTCAATATATTGGCCTCCTAGATCTCCTGACCTTTCACCGTTGGATTTCTACATCTGAGGTACATGAATTTGATCCTCCCGCAACCATGGAAATCCTGAGACAAAGAATTTTGAGCACAGTTAGAAATATTGACAGAAATACACTTGCTAAGGTTGTATGGAAAACAGTCACCAAATGTCAAAAATGTCTGGATGCAAATGGACGTTATTTTGCAAATCTGTAAATTAATACCCGCCTGCATAATTAGATTTTACATTACAATTTTGTAAAATGTTTATTTGTTCATGTGTAAAATAAATGTACAACGATTTTTCTGACTTGCTTTACTAACACACTGATAGTTGGGAATTTGTCCCAAAACATTTGAATTGTTGGGAAGTCGATATAAACGTTAATATTCTATTGAAAATTCAATTAGTTTATGTTTTTTATGCCTTACTCATTAATGTTATTTTCTGACAAATAAATCATGGACCCCTTAGAAAAAAAACTAATACATAACATTACGTGTGATGTGATACTCCAACGTTTTATGCACTTGCGCACTAGACTGGAAATTTTACACTCTTTTCAAAATTCAGAAAATCCAATATGATCGATCGTTAACCTGAAACCGACCATCGAAAGCACTAAGTTTCCTCTAAAACTGTTGCCATTGAACCTTTGCTGTAGGTATAACAGGAGCCGAGATCCCTGTATAGAGAAGCGAATCTGGGACACACAGTATACAATATATTGGAAACAGGCAAAATAATTGATCAAATAAATATCGAATGAGATGTTAGATAAGCGCACAGTAGGCCTTCAAAATAGTATATATATATATATGCAGATCAATCATATAATCTGTAATAGTCCTTGCTTCCATATTTTTCTTGTTGAGTGATATTCAACAATAGCCAGCAAAGCGTATCGATTTTCAAACTGTTGCTTATTGCACCGTGGCAGAGACAATTGTCGCACGTTAACAGACTATTTTTCACGAAATATCCATATTCATGCCAATTAGAAAATAAAACAGACATTACACAACAATTGCATTGACTACGTTTATATTATAACCGCATGTACGCCGAATTTACATTCATCTAGAAAGACAGGATATTGATGACGTTTTGAAGTTCTGCTTCATCTACTAACCCGTAGAAGTAGAGTAGAAGTGAAGTGGAATAAGAAGTAAATGAAACTAAACGAACTAAGTCTATCCATGTTTGATTTACTAATCAAAAATTAATGAGATCTTCTTAAATAAGTATTAACGGTAAAATCATATGAATAAAGGTAAATAGTAAATACTTAGATCACGTGGAAATGCCACACAAAAAAAGAAGATAGTTTAACCTCCACAAATTGCAGGTTATTGAGAATATACTCAAAAATCTACGGCTCCTTACCAAAATCTTGCTCTACAGCCAGCATTCACATGTTTGACCTCGTGTTACATGTAGGGCTGTTTCAAAGATTGCAACATCGATAAGATCCAAAGCCTCCAAAAAGTTTTGAGAATTACGTGAAGCTCCTCTTGGTATGTTCACAATAGGCATATTCTTTGAGATTTTCAAGTCTCTCAGGCTATCGACGAAATGGATAGGCATTTGGTGAAGAAGAAGACCCTTTCAAATAGAAGGCTTTTTCAAATAAGTCGTTGTGGATAAAATTGTCGAAGATGTGGCTTGAAATGGAAACGTATAGTCGATTACAATTAGGATAAAGCTAATTTACCTAATTATTAATAGAATCAATTTTCACAAGTTAACCTTCGAAATCCAGACAAGGCCCGTCTTGGAGTACTGTCCTCACGTCTGGGGTGCTTCTGCATGATGCAGTTCGTAGAAGGACAATCGGAAAAACCTGTGGCATTTACTTATCGGATTTAGAACTACGTTGCTATGTCAACAGGCTCTGCTCCATGACGCCCTACTAATCTAGGCGGTTCAGAAATCGGATTAATAAGCCGTCTTTAAGTTCCTTATAGCAAACGCGTTGCCCCGGTATACAGGGTGCCCCATCCATGTGTGGACGGAGTATTACTCATAAACAAATACGTTTTGGGAAAATCTATTGATGGCATGTCATAGATGACATTTGAGGGCACATTTCCAAAACATTGGCAATTATACAGGGTGCAAGTTTGGATTCAATTTTTTATAAGCTTTTATTTGATACTAGATACATAAGGGTTTTTACGGCTGTTTTTTCTATTATTAGCACGTCTTTTATGGAACGGCTTAATTCCCTAAAATATCGCATCATCCTCAGAAACAAAATACATTATTAATTAGATACAAACTGTCAAAATTAGCTTTGTGAGCATTATAATAAAAACGTGTTTGAAAATGAATTTTTCTAAAGAAGAAATGGTGAATATGGTGTTCGTTTTGGACGAGTGAGTGAGTGAAGACACTACTTTCCTGGATAAGGTTATTTTTGGCGATGAGGCAACTTTTAACAGCATAGGTGTTGTCAACATGCATAACGTGCACTATTATGAGACGGAAAACCCTTACTGGGTTAGGGAAATAGATTTACAAAATAAATGGACCTTGAATGTTTGGGGAGGAGCTATTGGCAGACAAGTTATCGGGCCTTTCTTTTTCGACAACAGATTAACAGGTACAGAATACTTGAATCTTTTGATCGAGCATTTGCCTTTGCTTTTGGAGGATGTCAACCTGCAAACTCGGATGAATATATCATAATCGTATGCGTAACTATTTGGACACCTGGAGTAACAACCGTTGGATGGGTAGTGATGGGCCTATATCTTGGCCTCCTACATCACCAGATATGACACTGATGGACTTCTATGGGGCTACGTTAAGCAAAAGGTTTATAGATATCCACCACCTATCACGGATAATATGAAGGAAAGGATTAAGGATGCTTTTCTGAACATAAGGGAACACATGCTGAGGGATGTGCAACGGTCATTTATCCAAAGACTATGGCTGTGTATTCAACATGGTGGATATATTTTCGAGCAGTGTCTTGAGTAGTGATAGATGTTTATTTATGTTGTTGTTATAGTTGTTTTTCTCTATTACGCTTGATGCTGATTTATACTGTTCTGATCGTTATTAGTTTTTACGTCAAATCTGTACTCGGCAATATGGAACTAGCCCACTGTTTGTATTTTGTTTCCTTGGATGATGTGATTTGTTTCCTTAATTTTGGTGTGTTGTTCTATTAAATGATTAATAACTCAAAATCTAGTGATTTTATCTGAATCAAACCTTATACCGAAAAAAGCTCATACAAAATTGAATCCAAACTTGCAGAAATATACAGGGTGACGTATTTGAAATTTTGAGAAAAAGTACTATTCGCATTTTTGACTACCCTGTATGAGCTAAAATTAAAATTCGAAAAGGTAACAAGTAAGATAAAAGCTGAGGTGTGTATGTTTTTTTTATACAAAATCCAGCACTTCAAATTTCAAAATGGCGGATTGAGGGGCTGCCGAAGTGGACGGTTTTTCTGGACAAAACACCTTACATCTCAGTAGCTAATTACCAAAACCCCATAGTATGTTATATCAATCTTCTTCTTTTGAATCGGTTTTTGAAATATGCAATAAAATTTGAGGCATTCCATTTAAAAAATCACAACTTTGATATGTAGGTCAAAATTGGGACACCTTGTATAATTACCAATATTTTAGAAATGTGCCCTCAAATGTCATGTATAACATGCCGTTAATAGATTTAACCAAAACGTGTTTGTTTATGAGTAATATTCCGTCCACGCATAGATGGTCCACCCTGTATAGTTTTTTACCTATGCGACTGATTTAGAATAGTAAAATGGAATCCTTGAATCATTTTTTTTATACTCCAACCACCACGAAGGCCTAAGAAGCCTAAAACACCCATGGGGTACCGAAGGGCTATCTGAAAATTTACTATCATACTCTCGGTGCAAGAGGTTACAATAGCTTTGTCCGTCATTGTGTTGAGGCTATAAAGGCTTTATCGGTTGGAAATCCTGATAAACAATTGTGTACCGATATAAACGTAGTCAGCTCACACCTAATAATACACACATAATGCATATGGGATCATAGATGGGCGAACCAAGGATAAAACGACGTAGAATCTAGCTATCTGTGTGTGATTATGCAAAAACGATTGCTACCGCGTTTACTT